CGGGACTTTTCCCTTGATCCAATGGAGATGTGGGCAATCTTCCAGATTTTTGGTGTGAAGTTGGGATTTGCTATCAGCATCCATCACCCATCGGCTTCTCCATCTCCTCCAGCCATCCGCCGCGAGGCAGTCCACCACGGCCTCCATGGGGCCCAAATCGGCGGCCAGCGATCCGCACCTGACCCGTCGGAAGTCCGCGAGTGCCACACCCAGCAAGAAGGAGGTGCGGTGGCGGAACATGCGGAGCATGCGGAGCATGCCGAGCATGAAGCAGGTCGTTGGGTGATTGGATGTGATTTTGGGGAAGAAGCCAGAAGATTCTTCAATCTGTACTACTTAGTAAAGATGAGATCATATGAGCACTGTGTGGGGTCCGGAGCAATAGAGTTCCCAAATGGCTAGGTCCACAGTCCACAGGGGGGAATCTCTTCTCCCATATGCTTAGCACACTGCAAGGAGGAGGAAGCAGCAGCGGCCCAAGCTGAAGCGGAGGAAGCGCGCCGGAGGCAGTCGCAGTCCTCAATCCGATTCTCAGAGAAAGTATGGAAAAGCACAAAAGACTCAGGGTGGTTGAGTTTCTACTGGATTCAAGTGTATGGCCAGCACATGTTGACTCAAGACAGCAAAATTACTGTAATCAATTAAGTTTTGAGGGTTACTGTGGAAAGACGATGACATCTATGGCTTTCTACACAGCAGGGTTGCCTTTTCATTCTTAAGACCCTCACATTTGGGCACGCCCAGCAGGGTAGGGCGTTGTTCTCAATGATGTTGCTGTCTTGATTGTTCAGCGTTCTCGACGAATGACTTGCTTCAAGCCTGGTGGCCCCTCACCGAACATGTTCTGGGCGGGAATCGAGTGGAGAGTAAGGGCAGGTCAGGTAGAGCCAATTGGACAAGAAGGGGAAAGCCGAGCATGTGGAAGTCATCGTTTTTTTGAACAGGCCTCCTTCGCGGGGCCGGGCCATCCCAACATTTAGGGAAAGGACGTACTGCCTGCGCTCCCAGCAACAGTCCCACTGGGAGCAAGGTTGCCCGATGTGCACTGCGGGTTTGAGCCTGGAGACTGCTGAGGAAGTGTGGAGATGATGCAGCAACGGGACCAAGCGCCCATCTATAGCGGTTTGTGGTTTGCCACTTTGGTGGAGGGCAAATCACAGCACACTCGAAACGAGGAGCGGCATTTAATCTTCACAAGAGATGGGCCGCTTGGCACGGGACGATCCTATTCGTTGGTTGGGGAAAGGCTCTGGGATGAGCATTGCTGGCAGCCAAGTTTTCCATGGTAGTGCAGGATGTTTTTTGAACATTGAACTCATTTGGCAAAAAGAAAGAGAATGGGATTTTGAGAGCACAGCGCGGCAGTCCCGTCCCGCCCAGACACTGGACTCTTGAGGTTTGGTAGATGATTCACCCCAAGCGGAGAATGGTGTGCTTTTCACATCTGACTATGATTAGTTGAAGGTGTGCGTCCTGGTGTCCCCAAAGACTCACCTAGGACCTTAGGACCAACACCCCGCCTATCACACAATTCCTTGGAAGTCACCAGCCATCGTGACTCCAGCATCGTGCCGTGGACGGCGTGGACCACAGCTCCTCCCTAACGCCGTAACGCCGCTTACGGCGTTAAGGGTTTGAAACGGCCATGTCAGGTGCGTTTGTGGCTCCGGGAACTTCAATAGCACGTTGGCCGGTCGTTTCAAGCTACCAGATGTGCAGTGGACCGACGCCTGGAGATCTTCCGTGGAGAGGGGGGGCCTGGTGGACCTGGTAGACAATGGGAGAAGTTGATTCAGTTCCAAACGGTGAAAGAAGTTGAAGTGGAGGTTGTTGTTGGACGGTTGGACGCTTTGATCACCATCCACTGGTGGAATGAGAAGGATATCATATCAACTGGTCACCAGTGCCTGAAAAATTGACTTAGTCAGTGGGCAAGCGCTTGGTCCGTATCTCCCATGTGCTGTGGTGAGGAAACATACTCCTGGGGCACCATCAAAGTGAACGCGAAGCTGGGCAAGCCCACACATTTGGCCGCTTGGACATGCAATGGAAAGCCGATTGATGAACCACCTTGGGGGGCCTTTGCAGCTTTCGTTGTCCATGTGTTTCTGCAAAAGACGCCCGACGATTGGACAGGATCAGGACTCTCCAACCCTTGACAGGAAGGACAGAAACATGCAGGAACCTACAGAGGTCACTGTACCCGTTGGCTTGTGCAAAAGCCAGCAGCGGCCATAAGACTGAATTGCCAAATTACTGTATATAAACAGACCCTTGAACTTGAACAACAGTGGAGCCAAGCGGACAGAGGAAAAGGAGCCGCCAAGCAATACAGAGGGTCACGAAACACAAAGTAAGTATGAACGAGAAGGTACGAATGAGTCAGCTGGTTTGAGTTTCCCACCCATGTGTTCCACAAAGCTCAAGTCAGTCAACACGGCCTACGTGCATTCTCCGCCCCAAGTCTATGACATCCTGCTTCATTTGTTCCTCCCGCCTCTCCCCCTGGCCAGCTGTGGTCAGATGGCCAGGACGGGAGCTTCAAGACTTCCGACGGCGGTCATGGACTCTTGGCGTTTGCGCATGTCGTCCCGGACGACAGGTGAAGACGAGACCACAAACCACGACAGGTGCGTGTCTAAGTGCGTGTCTAGACTTTCCAGGTGGTTTTGTTGGGCCATACTGTTGGCTCTTCCTTTTCAGACTCTGGGATCACCAGGAAAATCAACACATGAGTTGTGTTGTTCATGCTTTGTTTCGGCACCACAGATTCATCACTCATGGGTCATGGGCTGCAGCGATCGGCTTCAGAGGCTGCAGCGATAGCAGTGTGTTCTCGGCACATTCTTCCAAACAAGCAGCGTGACCCATTTAGCTCCTCATCACCTATATAAATATCGTTAGCAACCACCAGACCTCATTGTTCACTCAGTTCAGTCCATCAGTTAGTTGTGCCCTGGAAAATCAGTGCATTCCCCAGCAGAGTGATTGAGTCTAAACGCGGCATAGGGTCTAGTACTTGGCTTTGTGCAGAGAAAACCTTGACCTGAGAGCAGTTTGGATCCATCCGATGGGGATCACTGTTTCCTCGCGGACCAGCAACCACCTGTTCGATCTCTTTCGATACCCTCCGCCAGGAACGATCTTCCTGAAACCACCCGATAGCTCGGGTGTTTGACGGCGAAGCGCCGGGGAGGACGTTCGGGTTCGACTGAAAGGGCCAACGACGGCCACGACGGCCACAGGCGTGTCATGGGAAGGGCATGAATAGGACATGACAGGAGTCAAACTTTTGATCCCCTATGTGTCTATGGTTTGGAACATGTTGGAACCACTGTTGGCAAATGTTTATCATCTCAGATCAACCAGGGAGCATTCGTTGTGGCCAGTGGGTCCAATCAGACATGCCTGATGACTCGAGGACCACACGTCGAGTGGCCTTTCTTCCTTTAAAGACCAGCGACCTCAAGGGGAGGGTATGTAAAGGTCACTTTTAAGAACCGTGAATGGACATCACTGGGAGGGTTATAAGTGTGCCTGACATGTTTTTTTGTTGGTGTGTGACACCTGACTCTTCCCAGAGACATGCTTTGTGAAAACGAGCTTTTCCGGCCGTTGCCAGAGATTCTTTGGAAGTCTTGCCCACTTTGGTATCACTGGAGCAGTGCTTAAACATCGTCAGAGGGGGTGGAGGGAGAAAGAGAGAGAGAGAGAGAGAGAGAGAGAACGAGAGAGAAATCAAGATCACATGATGAACAGAGAGGGACATAAAAAGAAAAGCAGGTTCCAAGAAAACAACTATCAAAGAACAATCCACAGGACACTAAAATCAAACAATAAGACAAAGAACAAAAATAGTGTTTTCTATAGTATTGTCTATATATTGTTTAAAGTTCCAGGACTTGACCTGGCCTTCCAGGTGTTTCCCGTTTCAAGCCTTTCAGAAACACCAGCTTCGAAGGACCTCAGTTCCATGCACAATGTGCTGGGTGTGCATCACCTGACCAAGGAGAAACTTGCTGCACCAGTCAGCGCTTTTGGGTGGGAGGGTCTATTTCAAGACGATTCCAAACATGTGAAGCGCACTCAGACCCGTTTCGTGCTTCGAGAAGATGACCGTACTCCCCCACCCAGGAAAATCGCCAGCTGTACAGGTTTCGGAGAGCAGGCCTCAAGGTCAGCTTGTTTGAACTTCAACGTCGGCGGCCTACCCTTTTTTCTACAAAAGTAGAACATCCCTTTTTGAGGGCCGCATTTTCCCTGTGGCCATTTGGAATGGCCAGCCCCAGGTCCGGTAATAGGGGGCTGAGCTTTGGACCAAGTTCGTGCTCGTTGCTCGCAGCATGAGAGTTAGCACAACATACCCTTGCAGCAAGATGATCATGTAGCGGCTGATTCGAAGGCCCAAAGAAATTGCAAGGTCCGGGTTGTCATCTTCACCTGATTTCAATTCGTGCCGAGCGGGCACGAATTTCAGAGCGCCGTACGAGGGCATCATCCTCGAGAACTTTATGTTGAGAACCGCGGCCGAGCAGATCCCGGTCGGAGGGAGTTCAATCAAGGAAGACTGCTGGGTTGCGGTGAAAAGCTGTGAAAAACCGCTGCCAACTGCGAGGTGCTATAGGATAGATATCTCCCCCATGGAAAGGCGGAGATCTGGGTCGAAAGTTCTTGCGGCCAAAGACAGCCAAGACTGTTCCGCCGATTCCCCACCAGAAAGTTCGGGAAGATTTGAGCTGCCATTGGGTTCTGGCGAGTCGTTCTGATGTGTCGCCACTCTGTCTCACTGTGTTCTCTTTCCAGGCCACCCCCAAGTTTGGCCGACATCCTCAGCCCCGGCAGTCCTCCACCCGCTCTAACAACAGGGAACTCTCCCCCAAAGCCGTGCCGCGGTGGCCCGTTTCCCTTCCCGACCCCGGACCTTCCCTTCCCTTCGCGAACCCCAACCGCGAACCCCGACCGCGACCCCGACCGCGACCCCGACCCGTTCCCTGTGGCAGGTAGCTTTATTGTGGTTCTGATGCTCGTCCATGGCGCCTTGGGGCTGTCCTTGGGTCTCAGCTTTTGAGGTGAAGCCCAGTAAGTAGGGCGCGGTCGAGGAGGTCTCAGGGGCGGAAGGAACGGACGGATGGGGTCGTTGACCAATAGGGACGGCGCGGTTGGAGGACCCAAAAGCGAGGTTGGAGGATTGGAAGCAGCTTCACATGGATCCTTTCCTGACAGGGCACACTCAGCCCGTCCGTCCCAGCAAAAGGGACCAACCTTTTAGTGAGTTGCTGGGTTTGAAAGGTGAGCGCCCCAGGACAAGGTGTGGGATGGGTTGGTGAAAGACCTGTCGTTGAAGACAATCTGCTGGCCTCTCAGAACGTACCACAGTGCAACACCCTCCCACTACCTCCACTGGTTGCTGTTTGATGTTCGAGCACGAAGCTCCATAGCTGGGGCCGCTGGGGCTGTGAGAGGGAGATTGAGATGGAAGGATTCACAAGAAGAATAAGATCATTACAACACATCATGGCCAAGAACATCATGAGGACATGTCCCGAACTTTGAATAGACCACTGTGACCACAAGACTTGTCGGTGCAGCAGCGATGCTGTTGGACTTGAATTTGCGGAACTCTTCAGATGTTTCATGTAAGTGTTGGCCCCATCCCTCCCCTGCAACGGCCTTTGCAGGCGTTCGTCGCTTTCTCATGCTTTCGCCAAAGCCGCTGGCGATGGGAAAAGTGATGCCGCTTCTCGGACCATGCCAACTCAAATAACGTATATACCGTTAAACAAAATAGGCGCGTACCTGTTATATATATATATATATATTGTTAAATATATGTATTTTTAAATACATGTTTTGGGTTGTGTCACTGTTTGAGGATGTTAGAGGATCAAGGGCCATAAAACTCCAGGACCATGGAAGTGCTCTCCAGGCCCAACTTGTTACCAGCCTGGTGTTTGAACGCAGACTGGTGTTTGGTCTTGGAGGATCTTGGAGGCACAACATCCCTTATCCCCAAATTCATTGGTATTTTTAAGATACTACAAGCATTTACGACATAAGGAGGTTGCTTTTGTTTTACTCCTGAAGGCATGGCAGCCATGAGGTGCACAGAGAGTCTGAGAAATGTCCCGGCTTCGCAACACTACACCCGGGTTCCGAGACCGGAACCCGGCGAGGGACCAGACTGGAAGACGATGTTCTACAACCCGACGCGGTTTTCAGGTTCCATGTTAAAGCCTGTCCACGCTCCATGTATGGAATATATGCCGATCAGTTGGGGTGGGTGGTGCCAGGGGGGTCCGGCAGTCCCAGACGTGTTGTGTCTGGCCGCATCGCCATTGGCTCGAGACGACTCGGGGACGGCTCGCCACCCCCTTGGAAGGTTGGATGGTGCGGGTGAAGCGTTTGCCCTGTTTATACCAGACGAAATCAAACACCACAGGCACTTGAAAAACGTTCGGAATCGGAATCTTTTGGAAAGTATAGTTTCCCACCTCATAGTGTTTTCCACCTCATGCGCAACTTTGTTGATGAACACGTTTTCTGCACCGTTTTGGAACCAATCGCCAGATTTGTACTGGAGCTGTATGGCTACTCTCCTTTCCCATGTCTTCTTCAACATGTTCGTTCCTTCACAGAACGACATGAGATTGTAGAGACCCCCAGCACCTCACACTTCAAAACCTCCTTTGGTTGCTGAGACACAAGTCTTTACTGTGCTTTTGTGACGCTCACTCGTTCCCCTCCGCCCCTGCAGGAGACGGGAGGATGACGGCCGGAGAGGCCCTCGCGGAGCAGCTCTGCGAGGCCATCTCGCCCTATGAGGCCGAGCTACTGCAGCTTCGAAAGTAGGAGCAGGAGCAGGAGGAGTAGTAGTAGTTGTTGTTGTTGTTGTGGTTGTTGTAGTTGTTGTTCTTGATTGTGAATGTTTAACAGAGGTCAGAGAATGTCCAGATACCTACCAAAGATTGCAACTGTAGTTGTGGTGATGCTGCGGCCGTATCGGCAGGAAATGCTACTCAAGGTTTTCAGATGTGACCAGGATCGGGATTCTAGTGACTCACTCACTCACCACCTGATACCTTCTCTCAAACCTATTGCTTGTTGGATGTTTGCCTTTGTTATCCTTTGTTGGGATTCGTCTTGCTGCCACCTTGCAGGATGTGAGGGGTTACTTGCACCAGACAGTGTGCCCTGGCGGCATTTTTCTGCGACGATCCTCCACCCGATGCACTGCAGGAGAACCATCCCACTAAATTGCACTTCAAGTGGGGGGCACCGGTGGTTTCCGACTGGGAGAACTAGACAGAAAGTACCCTGCGTGCCTGGCACAGCAATGAAGAAGATCGATTGGACTCCAAGTGGAGATTCAAGCAACCCTGCACTAAACAAGTGACTATGGCTATGCCCTTTTGCATAGCATGTGGATCTGTTTATATCACTTTTATATCCAAGAGCAGCAGTCTCTAGTGGCCAATTCATGTGGGGATATGTTGGGTACCTCATACCTCCTAGACTTGGTTATTAAATCCATTGTTTTGGGGGGGCGAAAAACCATTATTTCCTGCAGCTGTTCCCTGAAACCAAGTGATTGAGTGCCTCAAGGCCTCGCTCGCTCACTCAGGCTTCCGAATCTCGGCTTGGCGATCGAAGACTTGCTGCCGCTTGGCGAGTCCGCTGATCTACACCACCCGGCCAGTCGGGAAAGAGACGAACAAAGTCGACTCCCCAAGCGGCCCAAGATCCCATCTCCAGATCTTTCACATGCATTTCTTGAAACATATTTTCCAACACATGGTTTCTATTGAGTATAGTATATATGCATTCCCGGCCATTGTAGATGACTTCAAGGCCTTGAGAGCTTGAACACCTTTTGACCCCAAATCGACCCAATCCGCGGGTGAACCGTGCACGAGCAGCTGGGCCCAGGCACCAAGTGCACGCCAGCGGCGAGCTCCAGCGAGTGCTCCGCAAGGAGCCTGAGGAGCGTTCGGCTGTTCGGCCGCCGCGCGAAAAGCGGCATGAGGAGCCGGAGGCTGGGCACGAGAGCCGGTGGCTGGGAGGGTTTGGAGCCACAGTGACAGAGTTTGCAAGTGGTTGAGATAGCAAAAAGTGGTTGGAACACCTGGAGCAACAAGGTCAGAGTCACTGACTCTGTTGGATTTTGGATGATGTTTCTCCAGATTGTTCGAATGCTTTTTGGGTTGTCAGGACAGCATGGAGGTCAGGCGCCAGAACACTGGCGGCAGCAGGCTGCGGGACTGTGTGTGTGCACGAGTCCAGGACTTCGTAGCAGCTGAACCTTCAAGGAAACTCAAAGTTTTGCAAGTCTGTGATTGAATGGAACTCAAAGCTAGATTTTTCTTGGAATAGTACGATGTGCGTGCTGGCATTGCCGTCCCGGCTCACGATGAATGTTCTCCAAAATAAGGTCTTCCACAACTAAAGGTGGGCAACTGATACACATACAGAGCTACGTACCCTCATGTGGGTTGGGATCAATCTTCTTGAGTCTCCTGGGCACCTGGCCAGGAAGCCTTCGTTGAACGGAGGCGCTCGGCATGATCGTGACGCTGTGGGAGTTAGAGGGGGGTCCATGGGTGCCGTTGGGAGAGTGAGAATCATGGAGTCTTTCCCTTGAAGCTAGCAGCTAATTAGCATCAGGGGGGAATGATTGCAGCTTGATTTCCTCGTACTGCATTCTTGTGAAAATACGTTTTTACCTTTGGGAAAAGAGATTGCTTGGTGGCTTTAAGCAGACAAACCTGTGTTGCTTGTTCCCTCTACATACTGACCTGGTCCAGTATCCTCCAGTCATGCTGAGTATGGACGTCAATGGAACCCTGGAAACATTTGGAAGCCATACAAAGTAGGGACCGTAGGGAACCTCACATGTTGCTGGTTGATGATGCTTAGAACTCCCTAAGCCTGGAGATATAGAAGATTCTGACACTGGTAGGAGGGAGTTCTATTCATCAACGGCCATACATGTAGGACACCCTATGGACCCCTTTGGACCCCTATATATGGACCTATACTATGGACCCCCAGATGCAGCGATCAAGGGAACCTTTAGCCAAGCAGCCGCCTTCTGTCCTGCCAGGTTCGGCTTCAGCCAGCCTCTCCACCAGCTCCTTGAATGATGGCACTGGCTCGACCAACGTCCGCGACGGCACGATGAGCGCGCCCCCCGGTGATCCGGCGCTATAGCAACTCTTCGGATGCGCAGGCGGGCAGGGGGATGAGTTGGGGAAGTGTCAGTGGCAAGAGCGAAGTCAGGTGGGTCGTATGCAAAAGTGATTGTGATTCTTTATAGGTTGTTTTCTGGGGAGTGCATGCTCAACAAGTCTTGATGGGGTATGTCAGTATGTCTATGTCTTAGTTGTCTGGAGTACAATTAGCCTTGCTGGCTAAAACACAATGGCAGAGTGATTTGATCCGTTTGCCACATATCACTTATCACCAATACTCTTCTCAAACCCCTCATGAACAAATGGAAGCCTTTGCGCAACAAAGCAGATCACTGATTGTTGCACACAGCGAGCCCAAACGCAACGAAGACAGGTCGGTCGATCCTTCAAGCATACGATAATATGTAATTTATATAAATCCAATTTAGTCTAGTTTATATAATTGTTTGTGATGTGATGTGGCTGCAGGTGCCGGAGATGTTGCTGATAGTGCCCATCTTAAGCCAACATTTGAGCCTTATCTTCTCCCTGGCTTGGTGTGTGCGCCCCCCCGGGCGACAGCCCCAAACAAAGAACATGAAGGTCAAAGGAGAGGTTGCACTTCACCCACTTCCATGGTTGCTTGAGCAAACCAAGGATGGGAGGGCCAACTAACGCGCATTAAGGATCTCAAAGACCTGTCAGTCCTCCGTGTATTCAGCCACGGTGTTTCGTCGCACGTTTTCCGACACGGTTTCGACGGTGAAAGCCCCTGCAGGTGCCTCCACCGCCCATCCTCGAATCTCCCGAGGAAGCCAAATTTGATCCTTTAGCACCGAGACGGCAGATGAGACTTCGAACATGTGGAGACATCGGGGGGGTGACGTCACATTCATGTGAACCGGTCAGCCACCCGTTTTGGCCATATTACACACGGCATGCTAACATAAACGCATATAAATACCCTATGGATTGAGTTCGCACTAAGACGTTTGACACCTCAAAACGAATCGGTCGCAGATGTTTGGGCTTTGCAGGGATTTACATGCATCTCCAGTGCACGCTTGTAAGGCAATAAACGTTCCAATACATGCATGCCTTGATTGGAGAGCCACATGAAGCATCCAAGAAGCCGTCTCACGCTGTGAGCTTCAACAACACTTCTATGATTTGACATTGTCAAGCTAACTGCTGGCAAGATGGCACGCAGTCCCTATTTGTGTTGCAGATTGCTGCAGCAAAGAGACCTTCTTGGCACGGAACGCAATGCCATGGATACTTAGTATTTGTCATTATCTAGTGGAAGTCCAGGGTTTTTCCAGGGCGTTCAGGCACAACCCTATCTCCCTATTACTTTTTACCTGTTGGAGAACTGCAACGAACCCTTTGACCGTAGCTCTTTCGACCTCACTCTTCTGAAACTCTCTCGCGTGCTAGTTCGACGAACTCGGAGCCAAGGTTTGGCTCTCTGAGCGCTTGAAGCAATCGACGTCGGTTCTTCGGCTGAAGCGCGTCCAGAATGGGCCCGGCGGTGACAGCGATGACCTGACTGCCCGGGCAACCACGGGCATGCTTGATTGCTGGAATCCCATGGAACGCGGGATGGAGTGTGTTGAAAATGGATCCGGAACCAAGCACCAAAGCACTTCGAACCCAAGAGAAGCATTCCAGTGTCAATCACCTCAATCCAAGTCTTTCTCGGTGTGTTCCCCACACCCGAAACGAGTCTTCCTCGCCGGTGTTGGAGCGGCTGCGACTCGGCGCCCCGGACGAGTCCTGAAGGCTGAAGCGGCTCCTTTGTCCGCCGAAGCTCGCAGCAAGATCAAGGAGCGCGTGGTGCTGCAGATTAAGGCAGCTGAGGCCGGCAGCTCCGGTGGCTGAAACGCTTTGGAGGAGGTTTTGGGTTTTGGATGGATGTGGTGAACATGTGGTGAAAGCTCTGAGATGATGGCCTCAATATGCCCCAATGATGGGAGATGATTCTTGTGGTCCCGGCGGCAGTGGCGATGAGAGGGTGAGAGGTTGCGGCCACACATGTTTTTGAGGCGGCCGAAGAAGCGGAACGCCAACGCTTGGCGGAGGCAGAGGCTTTGCGGGTGGCTTGGTCTTGGCGGCCGAGGGTGGGCCGAAGGGGTTCTGTATTCTGTAACTTATGTGGCTTTTGGCGTGGTACAGTATGTATAGCCAGTTTCTGGGGGAGAGTTGTCGTCAAGCACCCCAACCAGCTGTTTGCCGTTGGATTGATGTGGGTGTTGAACGGGGTTTTTGAAAGGAAGAACTCAGCCACCAAAATGGTGCTGGCAGGATGGTCAATTGCACCAATCGGTTGCGGTTGCAGCATGGAGAAAACACAGAAATGAACGAAAGAGAGAAAAGAAAGACACAGACAGAAACAGAGACAGAGACAGACAGAGAGAGAGAGAGAGACAGACAGAGAGAGAGAGAGAGAAAGAGAGAGAGAGAGAGAAAGAGAGAGAGAGAGAGAAAGAGAGAGAGGAAGAGGAAGAGGAAGAGGAAAGCTGTTTGGTCCCTTTGGGTGCTTCCATCCAAGGCTGAAGAGGGGGAGATGGCCACCATTGCAGAGACGCCCAGAGAGAGCTAATTTGTGCCTTTCTGAAGCTGTTGGAGGATCCCAAGACAAGGACGTCTAGATCAGCCAAGACCTGGCTCTAGAAGTGTCAAAGATGTCAAATTGCACACTTGCCAAACAGTTTTGTTGGAGAAGCATCGCCTCTTCTACCCTTAGCTTGGCTTCTTAGCCATGGCTAAGCCCTTAGCCCTCTGCTTCGGCGATCGGCACAAGCGGGATCTTCACAGCTTGGCTGTCAGCCTGTCTCACTGGCCGCTCGGAAGTCCGGCGAGCGGCTCCCTGGAAGTATTCATGCAAGTCCGCTGAGTTTCGTGTGCGAAGATTGCTCACTGATGCTGCTTGTGGATCAGGGAGGGTGCTTGGCATCTGAACATTCTACAAATATATTCAAGATGTGGATACATCCATATATGACCGTGAACATCCTGCGATATTCAAGGTGATTTGACAATCAACAGCTTGGCATCTTCGATACTATGAGGAACCCACTACCGCTCTCCTCCCGCGCAACCTTTCTGCGTGAGTTCTTTAGCTGCTGACTGCCATCCAAGCCAACGAGCCACGCGGATCATAGAATACTGTAAGTATTGTTGCACTTGCCAGGAGGCAAGGGCGTTAGACACCCAATCAAATAAGGTGGTTGGACAGGCGATGTATGTAATTTGCGCCGGTAGATTGTGGTTGGCAAAGCAGGTATGCTCACCCGTTCTTGAACCAAGCGCAATCCCATGAGCAACGAGCATGTTTCCAAGAACCGGCTGCCATCCTCAATTTTGACACTTGGTATGAAGCCAAGCATTCAAGTGGTTTGAATCAGGCAACAACTACCTTTCCGGAAAGCATTGACACAGGCGTAAGATTCAGGAGTCTTTGCATTCTACACCCCTATACCGTCCAGAAGATAGATTCCGCGAAGAAGCTTGAGGAAGATGTTTCTGTCGATCCACAATCAGATCCATGTGTTGCTTTGTCATTCCTAGTGACTCCTCCCCCCAACACTTCCCTCTCCCCCTCAAGTGCCGCTTGCGCTCCCCATGGCCGACTTCGACTTGGACCTCTATGGTGGGGAGACCCATTTTTGGAAGCGTTGAGGGGTCTCCTGAGATCTCCGAGGTATGGACATAAGCATGCATATGCTATACGCAACTTTTATACCGATGGCGTTAGCAGTGACTTTCGGCCAAATTACATCACAATTTGTTTGGAGAAGGGCCATTCGTAAGAAGTATTCATCAAGCTTTGCGAATCTGTGAGTCAAATAGATCCAACAAAGAAAGTAACATGTTTGTCATCTTGCATCACGATGTTCTACACAGATCCCCACCTCCACCCGCGTCTGAGTCGGCGTCTGAATGCGCCGCAGGTGATCTGAAAACCGACGTCCAGCTGAGAGACCCCCCGCCGGTGTCGCTTGGATCGTGAATTGATATCCATAGACCAGCATATGTTGGAAACCTCCCGGTAAAAAAATTGGGAACCTCAGCGATGTTTTGCCTTAAAAGGGCTGAGGTTGCGATGATGTTCGATTGTGAGGCAGACTTGCGGAGGTTGTTCCGATGGAACTTGGGGTGGAACGGCCCACTAACCTTGGGTTTCCATAAGGGAAATGGCGTTCACTTTATTCTTTGGGTAAGTTCGGAGATCAAAACAAATACTGTATCAGGGTGTTAAACATCATAATAATTACATCATCATACTGTACTTGCATGTCACGGAACATGGCCTTTGCATCAACTCACATCTATGCGGCAGACGTGTTTCTGTTGTTTGTGCGTTGCACAAGGGAAACGCGAAAAGAAAGGGAGTGCAACATGTAATTGCCCTTTCGATTCGTCGTTCCTTCCTGAAACAGGGTCATATTCCAGGTAGCTTTTTCAACGTGTTCAGGGATGGACGCTTCTCCCGAAGTGGAAGCCACTTCCGAGGAAGCCACCCACACCACCCTGGCGAAAGCAGAGCTCCAGCTCTGCCCAGGTGGAAACGGGGAGTGAAACGGGGTTGAAGGATTGGCCGCTGGGAGAAAAGGGACAGGGACTACCCTTTGACTCGTTATGAGTGGACACTGACACCTGGCTTTCTCTTTAGAGACCCAGGGTGGTTTCCACTTCTTTTGTTGGTAAGTCAGTGTGGCTCCCAATGTCTATCATATTTGGGGTGGATTTAAGCATTTGTGGAAAGCAATGATGCGGTGTGAGTCGCTATGGCTGTAGGGTAGGGGATGCTTCTTTTACCGCGTGTTGAGGAACAGCCGGTTCCCAACGTTGTACCGAGTCTACCAACGGTCAGGCGGCACCTCCTCCTGAAATCGAGCATGAAGGCCATGGTGCCGCCGTGTTCGTTTGGGAAGACCCGAGGTGTCTTGAGCTTTGTTCATCAGTGCGATAGACACGAACTGGATCCCCCCCGACAAGCGGTTGTATATTGTTTTGGGTTCTTTAGTCATTCTGTTCTGTTGTGCCGCCACGTGTTGAAACATGCAAAAGGTACTTGCATCCCTTAAAGGATTTGTTGCACACTGGTACTCAAAATGCTCGTATGAATCCTGAAAACGCTGGTATGAATCCTGACATGGTACTGTTGGAAAATAAGTACCTGAAGGAGGATGCTCTAACACTGCAGTTCGAGAGATGCCAAGAAAATTGACCTGCACCGATACCTGTTGGGATGGGCCACATTGACTCATGTTGCATCAGGTTGCACCAAGTTCTTGCCTTTGGCCTTGAAGTGTTTCAGACTTCCCAAATGATTGCTATTCTTTGAGTCTTTCTTTTGGTGGGACCCGGCACGGTATATCCAGCGATCCACGTTGTTTTCTTTGGATGTGTAGCAGTGGCCCGCGGAACATGCATCAGGCCCCTTCTCCGTCTCCACCACGCCTTCTGGTGTGCAAGCACTACTTGAGCTGGGGCCTCACTTTTCAAGACATTGCTGGCGAACCCATGGACCAAAGACACCCAGGAGACATGCAGTTGCTTGTAGCTTGCCAGGAGCTTCTGTCAAACGCCAATTTATAGCCATCTCCTGACTTTGGAAACGGCCATGTGTGCCTTGTATGAATTCTGGTAGTGGCGGCCGATGTCTAGGAATTCTGCCCATGGTCTCCAAGCCTAAACATTGGCCAATCCACAGCATTCACTCCGGCCCAGGTTGCTGCGTGCACAAGCTCAGTGCTTTGTGTTTGTGTGTTTGTGTGCACGCGAAACTTCCTGGGTCCAAATGGTTTGAACTTACTCAGTTTGGAGGCATGCTCGGGGTCAAACACAGAGTGCCCCTTGCAAAAGGTATATGTGTCTTCAAGGAGTGCTATTAAGCTATTAGTTGCTCAGCAGATCAGCTTGACACATGCTTCAAAGGGATCATATTGCTTCCTGCCACGAGCGGAGAACAGGTTGCACTTTCTGAAACAAACATCGAGGACAAGTCTTGGGGAAAATACGGGCTAACATTTTACAATGACAAACTGGCCCCTAGAAGATGACCCGTTCCATTACAAACCCATGGTCATTCCCAGATTCCCAGGAGTGTTTTTCTTGGATTTGTTGGCCTTCAACACCTTCGCAGACTTCATCCTGTGTTCACGTCGGGTGGTTCCTACGACGTCCTACGACGTCCTACGACCATGGGGTTCCACCACCCACGGCGCCGCTCCAGCCGCCCAGGTGCCGGGGCGGAGGAGGACTTCGATGACTTGGACGATCCCGGACTGGATGACTCGGGTCCGGGGAGCCCGATGCTGCTGAGCGACCGGGGCCGCTGGGTTCACCAAAAAAGATGCCAGGAGTGAGTCATATAGTTGAAGCAACAGAGCGCCTTCTTAGTCTTCTTAAGCATTTGGACTTGGACCTTGCACTGCATGGCGTTTCTTCAAGCTTTCTTGACCCCTGAAGCGACGAAAGGTCCGGAGAAAGATCTTGCACCCGACTTGGAGGTCGGGCGAGGGGTCGCTGTGGGGTGAGTCATGATTTAATACCAGGAGTGCAGCTTTGAGGCCACGAAAGGCTGCCTTAGATGATGAGAAACCGAGAATTTGGAGCTTGGTAGACAAAGAGATTGTGCAGATCTTGGTTTCGGCTTGTATATGAGGGTTTGTTGGCTTGGTGAACTTGGGCAGTGCTCTCAAACTTGACACGTGCCATCCTTTTGCAAAGAACACATTTGCCTTCCAACTGTGAAGTCAATCTTCTGGAGCGGTCCAACACATTGTTTCGAAGACACGAGCTTTGAACTGCAGTGTATGTAGCCTTGTAGGTCATTCAGACTCGGACGCTTCTGACCTGCAGTGTTGTGCAGGTCAGTGAGGATGAGTTTGAAGCGCCGGCGAAGCGTCCGCGGCTGCAGGCCGTGGTGGGATAAGGTTCCTCAGAATCTCGTGAGAAGTCCTTTTTTTGAACATCTTGTTTGCATCAGCCTGAGCATCATTGACTGCTCATGTGCGTGAATGTTACAGTTGCAACAGGGTTGCCACACCAAGATAAAGTCACAACATGCATTATCGCAGCCAATTGATGCAAGGGCATGTAGTCGCGTAGCCAAACTGCTTGTAGCCAATCGATTGCTTGATAGGCCGTTCAGCCAGGCGTGGCGGGGCTTTCTTGCTTTGTGTGTCTTGATCAAGAAGAGGCAAATTCTACTGATAACTACTGCAGGATGCTGGGGCCCAGTTGCTTGTCAGATGTGTGTGTGTGTGTGCCATGATGGGTTGAATCCGTCAAGCCCTGCTTGACTCGTTCACTTGCCACATCAGCCTCATCAAAGTTCCTGCTCCTGATCTACCTTCTTCCGCTTCGTCTCAGCCTGCCAGGCCCTAAAAACTCTGCCCAGCGCTCAAAAGTGAGCTGTTGCTGTTGTGTTCTTACTCTCTTCAAGAGTTGGTCTCCGGTCATGTGGTAAGTCACGGGACGAGGCCGAAGATGGCTTCGACTTCGAGTTCGAGGCGGATCTGCAGAAGGCGTCCGAGCTGGGGCCTTGTTGAACCATTGTTCCCCGATGGCGTTCCGACGAAAGGAGATTGCAAGGGAAACCATAGCAAAGTCCAGACATCTTGACACTCTTGTGGGAAGGAAAAGAGGCTATTGAATAGGTGTGTTTATCACTGCTGTTCGGCTTGGGAAGCTGTTCCCAAGTTGCTCAAACTGCCGCATGGTTTAAGGTCAAAGGTCTCCAGAAATAGTTCGAAGCCTCAGAGGGTAAGATGGATGATCGGATTGGCCGCGCTTGGGTTGAGCAGCTATGGCAAATGCTAAGAACAAATTGCCGCCTTCCTTGGACGAATTACCTGCTGCTTTTGGCCAGCAGGAAGTCGCAATGAGACACCACCCTGTTCTGTTCACCTGCTGTTTGAGGCACCGGTGGGATGCTTAGCGAAGATGGCTTGAGCTCAACGCAGATCGTGTTGGCTGCAGGGTGGCCCAGTTCCTTTGAGGGAATCGAAATTGGTATGGTTTCCCGAATAGTGGCAAGGCACTTCTGATTCAAAACTTCAACTTGGTTTCCTGTACAGAGATATGAGATTTCCTAGCCATCAATGCCCATCCCAACATGCTCCAAGCCTTGCAGGCACCTTTATTGCGTCATTGTCCCACCCACCCAGCTCCCCACACCGTCTCTCCCGTTTGCCGCATCCTGTCAGGCGCCCACGGAGACGACGGTTGCCACGAAAGCGCCCAGTGAGGAGCCGCCGGCCACGACGTCAAAGTCCGGGTGGCCCAATCGGCAGAGTCCGGCAGAGGGCGGTGGCTTGGGACAGTGGGCTCGCGATTTGACTGCCACACCTTCCATGGAGGTGCTTGATTGGTCAAGGGGCTTCATTCCGTGCCAAGATGATCGGCTACAACGTCATGTCGTGAGGTCACATTCAGTGGATTCGGTTGGAATTCACCACGAAGCTTCGGGCATTAAATCATGCTGCATCAATACATCCCCAAGAGGTGATGACATGTCACACCATCCGGCGGACCGTCGTGGTTCTTCGGTGTTCCAGGTATGTCTACAACGGCCGGATGAAGCATCGGCCTTGGCCTGCCACAATGGTTGAAGCTTGCACTGGTTGGTTGAAAAAAACATGTTACATTCAGTTATACACATTCTCACTCATTTCAGCTCATGGGAGGGAGTTCAAGACCTGTTGTGAAGCAAACAGGCTGGTTGAAGGCACCTTTGAGCAATCTGACTGTGCTGTTTGTAGCACAGCATGGGCACAGCTTCCGAAGCCGCCGCTGAGGCGTTGGGAACTCCGAACCTTGAAGGTGGCCAAACAGCCACCGCAGGACGACGTGCGTGGGTTGGGCCAATAGGGCTGTGACAGACAAACAACACCGGTGTTTCACCATTGGTGATGGAGCTGGAGTTGCTTTTCAGCCGCTCACAGGGGATCTCTAAGATCGTAGGTGAATTGGAAGCTGCTTTGAAAGACTGAGTCTGGTGTTTGGTTGCGGCACCTGCCTGCAAAGTGTGAATCAAGTGCATCAGATCACCAAAGTATAGGCATAGAAGCAAGCACTCTTTGATGGCCCTGAAAAACCTTCTGCGATTGAACTTCTGAACAGAAGGACCACCAAAATGGTTCGACCAATAGCCAGTAGACCTCTTGGATTAGTTGCTTAGTGAGTGGAATTTCTCAGGGGTGTCCCAGCGACACTCCCATTCTAGAAACCATGATCTATAAAATGACCCTTTTCGGCTCTGGAAGAGGGATCAAGAGCCTCATGCGTCCCAGGACAACACACATTCAGGCCAAGCCCTGAGTCACAGCTTTCCAGCCAAGACATGGCCACCCGCGGCCAGTGGCACTTTTCTTTTGCACCGAGGTCCAGGTGGTGTGCGGCAGAAGGCAGTGAGGGATGGTGATGTTGATCGGTATCAGAGTGGATGGCACCCAACCTAAGAGGTCGCACATATTTTGCGGCCAATGCATCTCACTTGAACCGCCGTTGTTCTTCAGAGAGTTCTTCAGTTTTGTTTCCCTGACTCATCCTGGACAGCTAGAAGGCGTGCATTCCCACCAACATAAGATTCTTTCATGCTTGAGGGTGAGACTCATGGCGGAATGGTTTCGAGGGTCGCCAAGTCAGAAGTCCTCGCACACCATAAATGGACACCTGCAAATGTCTTGCCAACAGCCCATGTGACTTGGCCATCATGTCTTCCATCGATGTGTTTCCCATATGTTCCTTTATCTCATGAACTCACGCCAACAACTATAGGCATAAAGAAAGGCGGTTCCGTGCCCGCCATGCGCAGGTGAAGCTTTGTCGCTTCTTCGCCATCCGCGGCAGCTGCAAGTGGGGAGACCGCAGGGGCACCCGGATGCGATGGCGTAATGGCACGGATGTCATCTCCGCAGTGTGCCTCCAATTTGATGCAACGATGAAAGAACTAGGACTCCAACGACTCCAAGAAGTCCTTCGTTCCATTTCAGTCCTGCAAGTAGGTCACAAGTTTGACCAGATGTTTGTTGTGTTGCGTTGTCATCGTGTTTGTGAAGGGGGATTCATTGTTCTATCATGTTGACCGACCAGACACTGAAAGGTTTCAGTTGGGGGACTACTGTCCTGCATAAACTGACACGAATTGGCCATTGAATCTTTCCACGTAAACGTGCAAGGCTTCCCTTTACGTGACAAGTATGAACTCCCTGAAAGGAAACCAAAAGATGGAAGCAAACGAGAATGCTGTTGAACACGTGCCATGAAAAGCTTGAATTTGTTTGGAAGATGGTCACGTCAGGTATCTCGGCGGTTTCTCACCATCTACAGTCTAAAAAGACACGTGCTCAAGTACTGTAATTCCCAAAAGGGTTGGCATACATGAAGCGATTTTTGTATGCGCTGCCTGCTCATGCGCAAGGACTGGGACTAGGATCGGTTTCTCCAACATCTTGGGTTTAGTGCATTTGCCCTGTTGCTGCCTCAAGGCTGCTTCTACGCTCACAATGAGGCCAGAAGGTATAGCATGACCGACCCATTGGGTTGGTCATTCACATTGGTATGTATTTGACAGGGCCTGAAGTGTCAGTGATCCATTGATGATGCCGTATGCTGTGCGCAGTGCGAAGTTTGAGCACACTGCTCCAGTTGTCCCATGTACAATTAAGAGGGACAAATGACTGGAATCCACAAACCGCAGTTTTCTTCTGTGGGTGTCCTTAAAGACGGCTCTTTACCAAAGTCATAGATGTTAGGTGCCCACAGTGACGTCATTGTTTATCCGTTCTACAAGGCCATGGCCCACTTAGCATCCAGGTAAATCATGGTAAACCATCTCAGCGTCAGGTTTGCCCCCATCGTTGTGTGACGTGTTTTCCATGGTCCCAGCCCCCCCCGCCCCTGCCGCACTGGCCGAATCCCTTCACTCCAACGTGGCGTTTGCCACGCAGGCGGAGCTGTCGCTGGGTCACGACGTGGCCTCGCAGCAGCGAATCATCTCGGAGTGTGCCTACAAAGCCTGGGAGGACGCGGAAGGAGGCGCAACAACGCGCGGAATTTGTGCGTCGCCAGGGAGTAAAAGAAGAGGTGCAGGAATTGTTTAGGAGGGGAGTACAGGAGCTTCGGAAGAGTTTTAAGAGGCCATGATTCATGATCACTTGCGTTTGTCATGAGCGTTTGGCCTTGCATGGCAAAAGTTTCTATACTTACTTTTGTAGAGTGGACTCATGAGAAAGTGTATTGTTCATGCAGCCTTCACACTTGCATGTTTACTTGCATTATGGCTCAAAGGCCAACTGATATTCGGGCACAAGTGCCCACACCATCTGCTAGAATTCCCTGCGAGTGATTGCAGAGCCCTCCGAGCAGGGAAATGGCTGAGACTTCCAATGTTGTTCATCACATTGCCTCCGCATTCTCCTTGGGAGATCATCATGCCATCCTAGATGTCCGCCGGCAAGAAGTTTATCACTACACTTCGGCATGGACATGGGGCCTTTGCCGAGTGAGACGGCAATCGCTCCAGCAGTACAGGCAGCGCTATCCTGGCTGGCGTGTGGTGGCCGTTGCATCAACCCCCCAGCACTGTAGAGAAATACTTGAGAGAGCCAGATCTATGGTAGATCAAGACAAATCATACAATCCATTCTGGAACAACTGCGAGCACTTTGCAAGGCGTTGCTTTGAAGAGAAGGATTGGAGTGAACAGGCTGAGAACGTTATCAATGGCCTTGAAGATGCGGCAAAGGATGCGGTAAAGACAGCGGCAGTTAACATGGCATCTGAGATGACACATCACGGCACCGCAACTGCTGGAAGTGCCACAGCTAGTGCAAGTACGGGCGCAGCGGCAGGCAGTGCAGGTACGGGTATTGGTGCTGCTGCCACTGCTGGTGCAAGTGTGGCTTCGGCTGGAAGTGCCAATGCTGTTGCTGGGGCTGCAAGTACCAATGCTGTGGCTGGAAGTGTTAGTGCCACTGCTGGTGCAAGTGTGACTTCGGCTGGAAGTGCCAATGCTGTTGCTGGGGCTGCAAGTACCAGTGCTGTGGGTGCCACTGGTGCAAGTGTGGCTTCGGCTGGAAGTGCCAAGGCTGTTGCTGGGGCTGCAAGTACCAGTGCTGTGGCTGGAAGTGTTAGTGCCACTGCTGGTGCAAGTGTGGCTTCGGCTGGAAGTGCCAATGCTGTTGCTGGGGCTGCAAGTGCGGGTGCGGGTGCTGCTGCTGGAGGTGCGGGTGCTGCTGCTGGGAGCACGGGTGCGGCTGCAGGAGTCGCGGGAGCATCCAGCACAAGTCCAGCCACTGTGGCCATTGTGACAGTGAAAGTCGCCATGGCACAATTCTGCGTGGCGTTGGCCACCAAGGCCGTATTCCACCTTTGGTGCCAATACGGAAAGCAGAAGGTTGAAGCTCGAACGCCCATCCGCATCCGAAACCAGAGCACAGAAGTGATCCAAGTGACCTTGAGAACCATCGCCTTTTGGGACACTTTGCACAACACAGTCCATCGGCTTCGGGCACAGGCCGGGGTTGGCAAGATCAAAGCAGAGATTGCGGCCGGCACAGAAGAGTTCCTTTATCCTCCCTGTGAAGATGGTGAGGAGTGGTTCGAGGACTTTTTCTTGACAGTTGCCAGGATTTGTCCAAACTTTGTTGTTTCTTAGATTGGGACATCCCAGGAAATGCAACATTCAGTGGTTGTTTGGTGTTTTTGACACCTTCTGCATTTATTGTGTGGAACTAGCCCTCACAGCACCGAGGTCAAGTGTGCAGACCAGCTACAAGCAGAGGTCAAACTCCATCGCGGCAGTGAGGTGGTTTATGGTGGACCTGAAAGCATTCGATGGAGTTAGATATATCCCAACATGGCGTCGATTGTCCTTTTTAAAGAGAGCAGCAGTTCGCAGGGATCCAAAATAGTGCCCGGTGCGCCGGAAACAGAAGGCTCTCTTGTTGGACGTGGCACGGGGACAAAATTTCTGAATTTTTGAGTTAGAAGCATGAGAATTGTATCCAGGCGCGCCAGGTTGCCTATTCAATCAGGTGCCCCGAAGACATCGACGGATGAGGCCCTCCCTCAAACGAAATGTCCAAAATACCAGCAAAAGGACATTAGACAATATTAGACGGGGTGTAAAAGAGGAGATCAGAATCATAGATATCATTGGGTTTCCCCTCCTACTGTCCAAACTGGTGCAGGATATTCTTCCATCCCTAGGACCGACACATGGCGATCCGCCGAAAACACCCACAGGCAGTTGCAGCTACGCTGCAGCGCTGGCCGTGCGCCTGGCGATTCGCTTCGAGGCGCCTGGGCGTCCTGCGAACGCACTGGAGCAGTTACAGATGGCTACAGACTCCTGGTTTGATGCATTCAATGGGCATATAATAGGGGTAAAGGCTGCTCTTCCAAGCGCCTTTGTTTTTGCAATAGTTGAATTTTGGCCACTGAAAGGTGCTTCCGTGTTTCATGGCACGGCTCTACAAGCTTAAACACATCACTTCCATCTTACCAACCCTACCTTTTGCCTCAATGCGCGGATGTCAAAACGATGCCTGTCTTATCCTTTCTTGGTCCTTGTCGTTGGTGCCTGTGAGGCCCAACCGCACAACCTTTTGCAGCGACCTTAGCGGTTGATCAAGTTTTCCAGTTTGTAGGATAGTGGATGTTAAGGACAAGGCAAGAGTGGGTGATGATGATGATGATGATGATAGTAGGCGATAATAGATGACAAAGGGCCCTTTGATGATCCATTCTACTTTTTGGTGTGCAGACTTAGGGGGTGACAATCCTTGCAATTGTTGTAAGAGGGTGCGTCAATTCTATCGCGTTGTTTCTTTACTTGTTTAGATGCATATTGCATCCCGGCATCCTGGTGCTGGGAAGTAGCCAACTCCCATAGTTTTGGTTCAATGGTCCGTAGGGCGCTGCTCTGGAGGAACTTTCTGCTTTGACAGGGCACATTGCGTTTGAATTTGGCGCGGACATATGGTTGGATGGTTTGTCAGGTTCTTGGGGGGGTTGGAAACATGACTTCCGCTCCAAGGCCCACCATGGAGAAGACTGGCTTGCCCATGCTTGGTGGGCCCCGTGCAACGGTTTGCGCCCTAGTCGTGGCTATTGGTTGGAAGGTGGGCAGGTGGAGTAGAGGTGGTGGTGTCTCGTGTTTGGTGCGGCGTCGAGTACACAACCAGAAGGTGTATTTGTGAGGACAGGTCTGGAGGACTTGGCTTATTTCATATTGCCAGAACCTTCGCTTATATAAATGGCCTTGGATAGTTAGTTCCAAGAGTGGGCAATCCTCAATGCCTTTACCAGCCGCGGCGAGCTTGATTTGTAAGGTGAAGATGTTGCTGAGGCATGGGAGAGGGAGAACTCAATAAAGGATCACAACAGCATGGTGGGAATTTTATTCATGTGGTTTGAATGTGGCCAGCAGTCTCAAATGTGGAACTGCGCAATCGGCAGTCGTCATGCTGGTCGTGTGTGCTTACTAGATAGACCTTCTTTTTTTATTTTGCTTCACCTTTTTTGTTTCCCCGCTCTTTACAGATGATTTTCACCTGTCAAACCTGAGACGCTGTGTAAGACCATTTGCAACATGTTCATGATTCATGCTCCCAGAACGCGAATCCACTACCATTGGTCAAGTTGCAGGGCTTTGGCTGCCGCTGGCATCCCCCACTTGCCCGAACAGTTCCGCGCAGGCTTTGTCACCCAGACAAGTGCAACCATCCCGAGGTCCAGGGGCAGTGGCCTAGGGGAGATGGATGGAGGTGGGAAAGATACGGGAGGAATGAATGTTGCTCAAATACACTAAAGTTTGTCCTGAAGTTACCATTTTGCCCCTTCCTTGTTTTGTGGGCCGTTGGCACCTGATTCCTGCTATATACTCAGTGTCGGTTGAAGAAATTGCAGGCACCCTGGACGGTGCTAGAAGGAGGACAATGCACAGAACGCAGTTGGTAGGAATAGTACTGTAACAGGGATCCTGTAACTGGCCGTTTCAGGGCACTGACCAATATCTTAGACATTCAAAAGCGTTCTCGCCTGGAATCCTGGAATCGAGTTTGCAAACACCGGCGGTCCATGTTCGTTATCGGGAGTGTGCAGTACCCTTTTGCTGTTTCTTTGCAGGAGAGGCATCAGTAGAGTCAGCAATTAGAGAAACAGAGGACATTTGTGATCAAGGATTGTGGAGGGCTTACCCATGAAGTCTTCACAAGACCTCTCCTGTCCCTGTTTTGATACGCTGCCACGAGGCAAAGCGCGCCGTGCAGATTCTTGGTCCCGTCTTGGCCACCTGCACTTCTTAAGAATAAATACAGTGCGCATATACCATATAGATTTGTCTATTCTGTTGAAGGAACGTGTCTTTACACAGGCACACAGTGAGTTGGCTTGTTTCTTCGTTGGGTGGGAAATGTTCCTGTGTGGTTCTGTAGAAGATGGCGATTTGGCATTTCACTATCAAGCATGTTCACAATTGATGACTTCAGTAACTTCAGTATGTTTTTTCCTGTACTCGTAGTGAACTCAAGTTGCTGCTAGCGATTAAATAAGCTAAATTAACCTGTGGGGCTGCTTTGGCACTTTGGTGGGTCGCTTGGCATGAAGGAGCAAGTTGATTATTTTCCAGAGCCTGTCAGCGGCTTGCGACATATCCTGAGTTTTTATGATAATCAAACAACTACATAACCAGTTCCTTCTTGTCGCAACAGTGATTGATAACGCTTCATTGAAGACATTCATCGGGCTTTGCCCAGAGAAAGGCACAGATCATCACACTGCCCTCACCGCCCTGAGCATCGCTTCTCACTCCACGTTCCCCTCGTCCAGCTTGGGGTCATTACATTCTGCATTTGATCGTGCGGTGTTTTTAATTACTCAGCACCTTGGTTCATCATCTTGAGTGCTTTGGTACCAATTGCAGGCCAAGCACTGTCATGTTGCAGCGGTTTTGATTTGCTGAGGGAAGAACATGTTCTTTGTAATAAGTAATAAAAACTTTGTTAGCCAGATTTGAGAGGACAGGACAATGGACGACCACTGCACTGCTTTCACAAGCACTTTTTTGACACATGAGTTGGAAGCAAGTTGCTTGATATGACTGGTATGATGCAACAAGCTTCTTCCTTGGCTGGCAACAACTCTGCAAGAACCTTACAACGCATCATCGAGAAGGTCCAAGATGTGCTTCCTTCTGAGGGTGTTTTGACTGGTCAAAGGGCGTTTTGATTCACCTAATCCTTCGGGCCGATCCAGGATCCCATGAGTTCTTGTTCTGCTGTACCAGGATTCTTCATTGGATGAAATTTACTGAGCACAATAGCATTCTAACCCTCTCAGCCGATGTGGGTGAAGTCAGGGTTCATGACTTCCAGCAACGGAGCATGCATGGGAACGCCACCGCCGCCTCTTTGTCAAGAAGGGTGAAGGAGGACCGATGTGCTGAAGACGACATTTGTTTGCCGTTTCTTTCCTGTTTCTGTTTGCCATATCATGAATCATAGACACGCGTCATGTTATGTACATTGCCCTGTGCTGTTTCTTGAACTCACGTTGACAATTTCGACCCGCTAGGACCTGCTGAAACGTGCCTTCGTCGTCCTGAAGGCAAGAAGAAGCTTCACATTTCTACTTGGAGGACTCATCCAGCAACAGAAACACCTTGTAAGAGACTCACGAGAGGGAGTCCAAGATCTTGGACGATGCAACCTTGTGGGAAAGTTAGTGTCGGTGTTCGGTGTTGCCCCCTCATGGGATTTCATCACATCCACTTTCACTGCTGAGAAGTAATTGAAGGGCTTTGTGTTCAGGCGGCCACAATCATCTAAGTTTCCCCGTGCAGGGTGAGGGGTGATTGTAACCCCTTTTGGAATGAATTGCCCGTAGGAGGTATATAATAAGGAGGCACCAACTACCGGGTAACTACCGGCAGTATTCATGAGACTTGGAGGTCAACTTGCCTTCTGGCGTTGAATCCCGACGAAGGCTCGCGCAGCCAAGAACTGCACGAAAGCTCCAGAGGCTCAGGGACTGGCTGCGGTGGAATCGGTTGTGAATATCTTTGAATATGTGTTCCTTTTGTTTGTGCCACTTAGACTATTACTGTTCGTCACATCCCCATCCCTTCTTGTGGTAGCACGGGCCCCGACTCCCAAGACAGGTCGATGTTCGTTATGCCTACTTGTACCTAGTTAGTGGTAGAAAGCACGTTTCTTGCTCTTTCAAAGGGTGTGTTTTTGCAGTTTTGTGCCAGCTTGATGTCAGCACCCCAAATGGCCCCACAATGATTATCAATGATTTGCTTTTCTTTATGCCTTGTCATTGTGGCTAGTGAACTTGGAGAGTCGTGCCTCCATGTGGCCATGTGGTACATTCAGCCGTAGAGCATCCAATGAATCTGCAGCATGGCTGCTTTGGGGTCTGGCTTCAATTCCTTTTGGACTATGCGTGCCTGGTTGAGAGCCATTGGCCATAAGATGCCACAAGCAGCAACCAGGCTGACGATTTTCCTCCAAAGCTGGACGGCTGACACCATGGGTTGTGACCGCCATCCTCTAAAGCTGGACAACAGACATTGTACTTACTTTGGGGTTGCTCCATTGGGTTTCAATGATGTGCGTCTATGGCTATCAATCCAGAGGCATCATTGTGCGTAGATGATCAGCTACCACGTCATTCAATTTTACGTATCGGGACATGAGGTGTCAACACCAAATCCGTGTCGTGTATCATGCTGCATCAATGCGGCACATCCCAATCGACCCCAAAAAGTAGTCGACAAGTCGACGACATGTCACACCACCAACTCACCGTTGGACTGTCGTGTTTCTTTGGTGACCGGGGCAAACCACAAAGGCCAAATGAAGCATCGGCCTTGGTTTGCCCCATGATCGAATCACGTTGACGCGTATTGACACTAAATCCAGCTCAACAGGGGAGCTTGAGAACTTTGGTGAAGCGACCGGTCAGCGCGGTCAGCAACCGACTTTGGGAACTCAGAACCTTGAATATGACCAAATTGGCTGCTGGAGGCGGCAGGTTCAGTTGGGGACTGAGGGAGATGTACATGGGTTGGTCATGGTGTTGAGGTTTTCTGGAAAAAATGGCTTGGAGTGCGCTAGGGGTTTGAGGGTTGAGGACCATGGGGGCAGCATTTTGGAGGGCAGTGCCTGATTCTAGCGGTACCTTACCCTTCCTCATCCACAACCGCTGGGACTTTGACAATTTCTCCAACATTCTGCTTCTGATGCATTTGTGGCCTCAAGGCCCGAGGCGGCTTCGAAGCTCGCAATAAGGCCGGAAGGTAAAGAGACGGACCAATTGCGAGTCGGTGATGACCATCTAGCAGCTCTGGCTGTGACACTACAGTATCATTGCTCTGGTAAAGTTTCTCGGACTGAGTCCACACAGTGCGCAGCGCAAAGTTTGAGCCCACCGCTCCACCCTCTCCAAGGGCTGCGTTTGGAATAGGCAGATGTCATCCTGTTGTCCAGGGTTGTGACCCACTCAGCATCCAGCCAGGTAGACCCTCCCACCTTCGTACATGTCCATCATTTCTCCGCCTATAGATCCTTTAAAACCATACAGGCAGAGCTGTTGCTGTGGCAGCGATCATTTCAGAGTGTGCCTAAAAAGCCTGGGAGCGGAAGGAGGCGCAATGAGCTGAACCTGTCCGTGCAGTGTGGGGCAGATGGGGTAGATTCGCAGGGAGTCCAGGAGGAAAGAAGGGGACGTCGGGAGATCTTTCACAGGCCATTATCGCTTGTGTGGTCATGAGCGCTTGAGCTTGCATGACAAGATTCACACTTACTTTTTTGGCCAATGGAGCCATGAGCAAGTGCATGGTTCATGCAGCCGATCTTACAGTGTCCTCCTGGCTCAAGTATACCAGCTGCAGACGGACTTGGGGTACAAGTGCCCCCACTATCTAGTGGAATTCCCGTGTGGGGAATGTCGAACAGACCGGCGGTCCGTCGCATTGCCTCCGCCGGCCTATTTGGAGACATCCATGCCATCCTAGATGAAGGCCAGCAGGAAGTTTATTACTGCACGCTGGGAGGCACATGGGGAGAAGATCAAGTGAAGTGTCAATCGTTCGAGGAGTACAAGCGACACTATCCTTCTTGGCGTGTAGTGGCCACTGCATCGAGCCCCCAGCATGGTGCAGAAGTCATTGAGAGGGCCAGATCTCGATTAGATCAAACCTTTCGGTGGAGACCACTTGTCAACCACAGCAGAGACTTCGCAAGGTTTTGCTTTGCAGGGCCAGTAACTGACACCCCTTCAAGTCAACCAGCTCAAAGCTTTAGTGATGCTTTAGGGCCTGTGGCGCGTGAGATGGCATCTGACGTGGCACAGCAGATGGCACGCGCAACTGTCACTGCAGCAATCAACCGCATACCACCCTTTCCGGGTGCGAGCGCAATTGCCGGCGCAAATGTGGCCACTGCTGGAGCTGGAAGTGCGAATTCTGCTGCTGCGACTGGAAGTGCGAGTGCTGGTGTTGGAAGTGTCAGTGCTGGTGTGGGTTCGGCTACGGCTGTCAGTGGCATTGCCAGTGGACAAGCAAGTGGGGCTGCGGGTGTGAGTGCAAGCACGGGTGCTGGAAGCCCTGGTGCAGCTGCAGTTGTTGCAGGTGCACTTGCGAATGCTGTTGCTGCAGCTGGAAGTGTGAGTGCGGGTGCTGCAGGTGGAAGTGTGGGCGCTGGTCCAAGTGTTGGTGCTTCTGCTGCAAGTGGACATGCAGGTGTGGCTGCAAGTGCAAGTTCTGGTGCTGGGAGTGCGAGTGCGGCTGCAGGAGGAACAAGCGCATCCGGCACCGCTTCAGCCATTGCGCAAGTCGGCATGGCAAAATGTTTGCTCTTCGGGACAGTGTCTGCAACCACCATGGCCGTTGCCGGACACCTGTGGTGCCAATACGGAAAGCAGAAGGCTGAAGCTCGAGCGCCCATCCGCATCCGCAACCAGAGCACAGAAGTGATCCAAGTGACCTTGAGAACCATCGCCTCTTGGGACACTTTGCACAACACAGTCCATCGGCTTCGGGCACAGGCCGGGGTTGGCAAGATCAAAGCAGAGATTGCGGCCGGCACAGAAGAGTTCCTTTATCCCCCCTGTGAGGAGTGGTTCGAGGATTTTTCCTTGACAGTTGCCAGGATTTGCCAAACATCTATTTTGTGTGTTGTAGTTGGACACCCCATGAACCCCAACATTCAGCCATTTTTTTTTGACACCCGCCAAGGTCAAGTGCGCAGGCCAGCTACGAGATGTGTTCCAAGTTCAACGCGGCACTGAGCTGGTGTATCCAAGGTCAACGCGGCATTGAGCTGGTGTATGATGGACCTGGGGAAATCTGATTAAGTTCGTGTGCCCCCCCGTGGCATCACTGTTCGGATTTTTGGAACATGGCAGTGGCTGAAAAGCGGTGCTTGGTTTCCCGAAACATTGGAAATCGCACAAGGATGCACAATCTGAGAAGCATAAGGGTTCTTCCCAGGTATGCCGGAAAGCATGTCAATCAGCACCCCAAAGAAATGACAAAAATTCAGCAAACAACCAACAAAGAATGTCCCTCCATTCCTAATTACTGACCTGCTGCTTCAAGTGGCGCAGGATTTTCAATTCTTCCATCAACGGTGATCGGCCGCAACTGCGGTGCCAGAGGCAGTCGCAGCGACGCTGCTGGCGATTTGCTTCGAGGCACACCGAGTCACTGCGGAACAGCGCATGAGGGGTGAAAGCCGAACCGCCTTTGTATTAACCTTTGAGGACTTGTTGAATTTCACCCAGGTTGGAGCTGCCATCCCAGGTATGTACGGATTTTCGGCTTCGAGGCACTGTGCATTGAAAGGTGGGTTGAGACCATCCTTCTAAGCGCGGTTGACAAAGTTGATGCGACATTTGATCAAGGGTCACAACCTGTGCGGACAAAAACAACCAGCACCAGTTGTGTCATATGAACTTCCGCAATCAAGAAAGCACTGTGTGGTGTAAGCTGAGAGCAGAGAGCACGCATAAGCCAGTTTCCTGGCGAAAGTCCGCACCATGGTCGGGTAATGATCACGTAAGTGTATGTAAGTATGTACCGTATATCCTTACCACGTGATTGGTTGTTAACAGCTGCGATTGTTTGTTTGGTGCAGCCAGATTCAAGCCGCCACTGTAGCAGTTTGGTGATTTTGGTGGACACACCTGTTCATTGCAAGGAAAGACTGGATGATAAATGATAGACTGATAGACCCCTTTCATGATCCACTCTACTGTTATTTGTCCAGGGGGTGACAATCCTTGCAAGACGCTTGTCACACGCAAGCGCATGAATTCAATATAACTCAATCGCTTTGCCTTAGCTTCCTCTAACATTCCATTTCCAGAGAGGAGCCGCTTGTAAGGCACTGCTCCAATGGGTTGATGTGCACATCCTAATGCATGTACCCCCAACGGCTGGATGGTTTGCAAGTTGCTCATTTGGTTGGGAAGATGACCTCCGCTCCCAAATCCATAGACAGGACATGGAAAAGACAGGCTAGCCCATTCTCAGCGGGCCCCGTGTGACGGTTTAGAGGAGATATTTGGACAGGTGGACACACCAAGAGCCCCTGTCTCATGGCAATTCATCCACTTGCACCACTGATGAGGAGGAATGGAGGGCTTGGTGAGTGGCTTGGTGTTCAGGTAGCCACAGTGCAGTGATCCAACTTTCCCCGTGCAGGGCGGGGGGAACTGTCATCCCTTTTGGAATTACTTCTCTTAGGGGGAGACAAGAAAGTGCCAACTACCGTCAGCATCCTCGCTTTGAATCCTGACCATGGAGGCGTGCACAACCAACAACTGCATGAAATCTCAAAAGGCTCGCGGGCTGGATGCGGTGGAGTCGGTTGGGATCATACTATATATTGTTATTGCTTGTTGAAGAATGGGCTGTGATGATTTGTCCTACCAGCATTGTTCGTCACATCCCTTCTTGTAGTAGGGGCCCAGACTGCCAAGACAGGTCGATGTTCATTTTGCCTACCAGAGCTCTTTCAAAGGTGGCGACTTTGCGGTTAACAGCTCAGACTTTTTGGACCCCACGCAACCCCACAATGATTTGATAGTGCACTTGGAGAGTTGGGGCTCCACATGTCATATCTTCAGCCGCATCGTATTCAATGAATCTGCAGCATGGCTGCTTTGCGTGCTTGGTTGGCAGCCATTGGCCACAAGCAGCAACCAGGCTGATCATTTTCCAAGAGCAAGGCCTCAGCATGGTTGGAGATACAAGAGGTTTCATTCAAATGGAATGCAGGGATATGTAGGGTGTTCTTTCTTGAGTTCATAGCTGAGCAGACCGTTGGTCTAGACTTACACAAACAGATGAGATCATTATATACACAAATATAGTCTGATTATTTATTATATGATAGTTGTTAAGGGCCGCGTGGGTTCACAAGATGAGCCTCTCCCTCGTGCCAGCTCCAGCGCCTGGCCTCCTCTATCCTGTTCCCAGATTCTATGTCCATCGTCCGCAGCGAATCCTCCACACCGGGAGGCGGGTGGAGAGTGGTGGGCGGATGAAGACGCCAAAGAGGAAGAAAAGTTCCAAACCCATGGAGTGGGCGGCCGAGACGCGGCTCACCCGCTGGCGGCAGCGTGCTGCAGCCATGGTGCTGGCAGTGGTAGTGCTGCTGGGAGTGGTGGGAGGTGCGATGTCCAATTCGAAAGCTGGTGCTTTACAATCACGTCTGGAGCAGCAAGGACAGATCGAATATGTCTACAACAGCGATACCCCCTTCCGCAAGGCTGAGCGCTTCGTTCGGGCTCCTGGCGCGATACTGAACTACCGGGTCTCACAGCCCAGTGAGATTCCTTCACCTTGGGCACGGAGAAGTTGGGTCTCAGATACCGCAGGCGTTTTGAGCCCCAGTGCCGTGATGCAGATCGACCATCTCGCCAATGAGATCCAGCGCAAGACCGGAGCTGAGCTGGTGGTGGTCACAGTGCCTGGAGTTCAAGGAGCAGATCACGATCGAAAAGAGGTGAAACGCTTCACAACGCGACTCTTCAACTCCTGGGGCATTGGGGATCGTTACAAGAACAATGGTGTCTTAGTCTTGGTGTCTACAGGCGATCGGCGTGTGGAGGTGGAGATCGGACGTGGTTTGAATGAGGTCTTCAACCGTGACGAGTGGCTTCAACGCATGATTCACTCTCAGATGACGCCCTCTCTCCGCCGCAATCTCTACGACCAGGGCGTCACCGCCGGGGTATCCGCTTGCTGCGACGAGCTGCAGCGGACCGATCGGGAGGTCTCGTCTCCCCAACGCTGGCGCACCCGCGCGGCGGTGCTGTGGTTTGCCAGTGGCCTTGCAGCAGTTGCAGGGCTCTTCCTCCGCAGTGGCTGGGTGCAGCCGCCCAGCTGCGGACTCTGCAACGGACGGATGTCGCGCCTGCGTCCGGCGAAGCCGGAGGAGCTGCTGCCGGGGCAGCGAGCCGAGCTGGAGCTGGGCTCGGTGCAGCACGTGCTGTGCGGCTGTGGGCGCCCGGGGTGTCAAAAGCGATGGGCGGCCGACCAAGGCGTCCGCGCCTTCAGAGGAGCTCAACGGATGGGAGGAGCCGTGAGCCGAAATCGAGATCTGCGACTTTCGCCTGAAGAAGTGCAGGTGGCGACTGTGGAGACTTGGTAGCCAGGGTTTTCGATGCCTCAAATGTGGAGCACTCTTGGGTGGGATATTACAGTATATAAATCAATCATACAAATTCCAAAGATGCAACTAGAAGGAGACAGACAAGAAGGATAAAAAAGGATTGATTATAATGAATAATGATTGATTCGATTCAATATATTCAATGTTAGGGACTTGAGGGGCATCGGCAAACACATCGAGCTGGATTACTGGTACATCGCATCAAGTTTGATACCTATATGATCCGTCATAGACCGTTCAACATCTCTCCTTGAAACCCCAGCCGCAAAGTCTGCAGCTTCGACCTGCTCCACCCTTTGCTGAGATTGCTTAATTAAATCTAAGTTCATCTCTGTGTTCATCTCTGTGTTCTCTTAATTAAGTCTAAGTTCAATGTCATTTCTGTTCATCTCTGTGGGAATGATAGTTCTAACATGTTCGAACGGAAACTTTTCCGTGAGATGGTGTGAGTTGTTTGGTGGAGTGTTGATTGGATAAGAACAGTCGCATCTATAGGGGTTAGACATGATCCAAGGCATTGTATACATTACTTCCCTGCGATTGAGATGTAGAGGTTGATGCCTTGAGTGGCACAAGTTTGGACTACAGCATTTGGAACATAAAGTGGAAAGAGCGAGGGGGGGTGCTACCTATAATGTTTCAAGGCTACTTGCATGGAATGTGAGCAAATATCGTGTGTATAGCATTGCACCTCGCTGCTACTCAAAGGATCAACATGGTAAAACCAGTGGTGCCGGTTGGACTTGCTCACATTGACCACCACACCCGCAGAACAGCCAGGACCGTCAGGGGCTGGGTCTCCTCTCACAACCCGAGCGGCTCTCGCGCTTCAGCCGCTGCGGCGCCTGCGGCTTCCGCACCGCCCTGTCGCAGACCACGCTGCTGGTGCCGGCGACCACGGTGACGCCGGGCTTTCGTGAGGAGACGTCCCTTGGAGGCGAGATCTTGTTAGTGTGTTTGGGTGCCCCATTGATTGCTGTGGGGTTCCTACATGGGAGAATCAGGGTTTTATCAATCAATGGACTTACAGCCTGCTTGAAGACTTAAAGCTGAACATACCCAGCTAGTGCCACTCACCACGCAGCCAGTGCTCACTCAAGCTGAGGACTGAGTGCTACTTTTGCTCGGCCACCTTTAGTGATCGAATCATCCTGCCAATCCTGACCTCCCCGTCTTTCAGTGATCGTGATGGTGGCGGTGGTGGGTCCTCTGATGGTGGTGGTAGTGGCGGAGACTTCTGAAGTTCTTCCAAGGCCTGGAGCAGTTGGTGTTCGGTCGAAGCAGAGATGGGCATCGCGAGGAACAAAGGATGCTTTTTGGTCCTTTGGTATGCTCTTCGTGATGATGAGTGGCTCCTGGATGTTCCATTCTTGTCGCAGTTTTGCAAGTCCAAAGTGAGGATGGGCTACAAGCAGAAATCAGACTTCGGCTTGACACAATTTATAAGAGGCTGATCTGAAAAGATCCAATGGAAGTATGGCACACGTTGCCGGCCATGTTGTCAAGAGCGGCTCCAAAATCGCGAGCGGTCTAAGCAACTGCGCAGTTTGTGATGTTCCAATATTTCTGAAGGCCAGTTACCCAGGGTACAGAGGGGAAACCTTGCAACATGGTGCGCCTTGAAGACGGGGGGGGTCCACACTCCGTGCCAAAACATCGGTTTCTGGATTGGTCAGCTGTAGGACAAATTTCAGGCCTTAGGCTAAGCACAATGAGGATTTGGTCAAGAAAGAAACTGAGAGTAGCACTTGAATGCTAACATATGCAAACAGAACATTCCTTGGACATGATTCCAGAACAGATTGTTTTTCGGTCCATTAGTTCTTCGTTTTCGATGGGGCCACGCACAGACCGCTGGGGCAAGTGGGCCTTAGCAGTCAGTGCCTTTGAGCCAAGAGTCCAGCCATCCAGACCCTTGGCAGGACAGGAGCGCCTGGACTGCCTGGACTCAGCCCACGTATCGTCCGGATCCTTGGTGGAGAACTCATGGAGGTTGAGGGATGCGAAATCAACGATGCAGCTATGCCAGGAAGAATTTGCTTGTGCATGGAACCATGCTGGGTGCACACAACAAACCGCCACTAGCGGCTCTCAAAGTGTAAAGGCTGGAGGCTGCGGTGTTTTATGTGGGAGGTCATGAGAGTTGCATGAGCCGTTTAGGCCCAAGGAAGTTCCCAAATCGCGGTAGTAGCAGTAGATCCCCTAGAAATAGATTGGCCGAGTGATTGGCCGATATGACCAGTCTCGATCAGAAACTGCCTGCTGGCTCTTTGGTTGAGATCCTCTCACACCTGCCAGTGACCTCACAGCCACCCATGAGGTCCACATCTCAGGCCTTCAAAGGCATCATGACGTCGCCACTCTTCCGTCAGGTCAGGCCCAAAGAGGTCTTGGTGGTGAAGCCAAAGACTGCGAAGAAGATGGTCAACGTCGCCAGCAAGTTGATCAACGGCTTCATGACACCGGATTCGTTGCCGGTGGTGGACTCCATCCGATTGGAATGGGAGAAGACCGAGGTAGGAGACAAGAAATCCATGTCCTTCAAGAACCCCTTCTACAAGTTTCTACAGCTACGGGTGGGTGGACAGCAAGCCAATGCAGAGCCTTTTGAAGAAGAGCTTTACCTGAATGGCTTGGATCCCAAAGGAGCCGAGCCTGCCCTGCGCAAGGCTTGGTGGGCTTCAGTGCGCAGTGTTTTGGATGGCTTGCCCATCCCTGAGTCAGCAAGGATCTTGTTACTTGGAGATAGGCGCTTGGGTGGAAGAAATGCATACTCCTTGGTCTTGGCTTTGGTTTGGACTGGAAGCGATTATGGCGTCCTGAAATGCAACCTTGACCCCGCCTATTTGGACTGCAATATGCATTGCAGCGGTGGCATCAAGGAGAACACCGTGACCGCAGCCCTGGGCGTGTTGCTCAAAAGGGCCCACAAGATTAACACCTTCAAAACTTTTGCCGCAGCCTTTGAGACAGCTCTGAACAAGATGATCGACGACCATGCATGGGGTGATGAGTGGGTGTATCCTCCATTGGATGGTGAACCGGATGAAGACCCCGATGTTTACTTCGACGAGGACACCATGGACGGCTATTTCAAGACCTTTGACCAACCAGATTTGGGCTCATGGTGCTTTGGGAGGTGAATCACTCCCAGTTGTTTGGGATCCTGTACCTAAATGGGTTCCACTACCTGTTTGTTCTAATCATTTGGGTGGCATTCCCTCGTGCCTGGGGGCAAGGGCGCCAGAGATGCCGCTGCTGCAAGGTCAAAATCATTGAAGCGGCATTGATTTGGGTGGGCGGCTTCCCAGACACTCCCCGGAATTATCATAGAAGGAGGATGGCATGGCCCTTTGGATGACAATGTTCCTCTATACTTAATTGCGCTGCGAATTGCTCCAACAAATTAGATGGTTCAATTTCTGGACCCCTAAATTGAAAGGAACCATATCCCAGAAAAACCTTTCTGGCCGGTCGCCGAGGCTTCATTCCGTGGAAATTGGCAATGATGGCACGCCATTTTGCTTCTTGCATGTCTTTGCTGGATGAGCCAACTGCCCGTATGGAATCTTTAGTTTTATGGTGGCCAATTAGCTGAAGAATTCTATTGCAGGAAAAAGAATGGATTGAACCAATTTTACGAAAGCCAGCCGATAGGGTAGGCTGAAGTTAGTTTATGCGAACGAAATGAATCTTTAGGGGTATCGGCGGGGAGGGATAGATATGCAAAAATTGATGTAAACCATTAACCTATTGATATATTTATTATTCCTTTCGTTTTCCGTTGTTTAAAAAATATCCAAATTAAATCTATAAAATATATATATTTAATGTATTTTTAAAAAAAAAAATAATTAATGCAATTAATATTTATAGGATTCCCCTTTTTTAATCCCCCAACTTCTTTTTTTAACTTACCATTTTTTTTATCCACCCGATTTTTTTCTAACCCTTTTTAAAACAATTGTTTTTTAATCCCCTTTAAAATAATTGTTTTTAATTTTGTAGACCTTTTTTTTAAATTTTTCCGATTTCTTTTTGTGCCCCTCCGACCCTTTTTTTTATCTACCTAGCCTTAGGAAATTAATTAAGGTTTCCTATTGAGATCTTTATTAATTTTTTTGGATTAATTTCTAGAAGTTGGATGAATACTTAGAGGGGTATCCTTAGCAAGGCACCAGATATTAATTGACCTGGAATTAATTTCTTGCTTCTTAGATCAAGGTCACTGGAATTAATTTTTTGATTTGGGGGGGGTGCAAATAAAACAGGTGGTGAGGAACATGTCTACTACCTATTGATTAAATATGTGTATACTCATTATACTAGCTCCAGCTTGTGATTTAGATGTTGTACATAATGTGTGCAAGGCTTGTGATTCAGATGTCGCAAAGTAAACAGAGAGATGGGATTGAGATTTTGCATGTGTTTGTGCATAACGTATCCTTTAGCAGGGAGGAACTCAACGATTGAAAGAACGAATGAAACATGATAGAAATATAATGAAATACAGAGTTCAGGTAAATACAGATATGGAAACCAATAGATGTGGCAGGTAAGAAGAAGCTGCTTGTGTGCACTCTGCATTTTCAGAATTTCAGAAATTAATCGTATGGTGATTGACATCTTAGTGTTTTTTAATTTGAACTTACAGGTCACCTCACTATTTTTTGTCAAGGAACTTAAGGTACCTAGATTAATTAACTGAGAACTCGGCCTGCCTCACAGTCATTCTTGATTAATTTTCTTATGTATTTTAATCTTCCACTTGGCAGTGGTTGGATTATTTAGAAGGCCCTCCCTAATTAAAAAAATAAATTAATTAAGGGGGGCCCTTACCCCGCCCCCTATCTAATGCAGGGGAGATTTTTTTTTAATCCCCGAGCGCTCTTTTTTATCCTTTATTTTTTCTTTTTTAACCCTTGATTTTGTTTTTTAATCCTTGATACTTGTCTACGAGGCCGCTGTAGAGCCGAGCGGTAAATAGCATGATACATTGGGGTCCGCTAGTTGAGTCATGTTTCTTGAGTTACTTGGTGCTACCTACTTTCCGTCTTTTGGCAATATAATATTTTTACCATGCGCTGCCGTTATAGGAGTCGAGTCGTGCAACAGCGTGATACCCCTACGTCATTATGGTAAGTGGGTTGGCGTAGCGTGCTGGGTGGACGTTATATAAGTGGTCCGAGGGGTATAGGCACGCGCATCGTGAAAACCATGTTGCCGCAAGAAAGAGAAATAGGCGCGCGTATTGAAAACACCTAGCGGCACAAGCAAGGACGGGATTATTACTTTTTGGGTCCTGCAAATTAAAGCAGGGGAGAAACTCATAGCGATTGAAGCCATAATAACCAAAGAGGTAGCAGAGATGGTTGGTAACCTCATAGCTGTAGAGGGGCCACAGCTGGCCACATGGCTTGCTAAAGCAGGAATTATAATAAATGACCAGCTGGATGTGACGCAGCTGCACAAGTACTTGCAAGGCTACTGCGCAGTGTTGGAAGACCATTTCGTCCATGTTTCGCAAATGCCGCGCATGAATGACATGTGCTCCATGCGGTACATAGGACATTGCATAGGGGCACTATCTACTGCCCACAAATGGACCTCATCCCTAGCAAGGCAACCTCGGTTACCCTTCCCTAGCATTCGAAGCACGAAAATTATGCGTTATATCACGTTCCTCCGTTTATCGGCCCTCCTAACTAACCGACAGATTCTTCAGTGGCACAGCACCCCTCCTGCCTCGCCTGCCTGGACAGGTTTGCATATTCGGAGGCTCGCGGTGTCGTGCTTTGTTGCATTCCAACCCGGTTGCACTCACCTGTCACCCCTTGGTGCGCCCTTTACGTTTTTCTTTTGGCACGCTCGATTGTCTAGCGCTTGCGTTTGCGCCCACGAGGTCGTTAAATTGGGATGTTCTACAAATTAGCCGTTGGATCACCATGCAAGGCTTTGATGTACAACACATGCTCACAATCTGCATGCAGAATAAACTCTCTGCACGTGCACAACCTTCCCAGCACCGCTTTTTTCAATTTCCTATGCACGCGGGGCCAAGCGCGTGCCATGACATCAACAGGCAAAATAAGTACCTTTGCTTTGATTTGGAACACGTGCGCAATCGTCAAGCGGAATCTGTGAAAAAAAAGAAAGCAACACCTCCCCCCGAATTCAAAGCAATGGTGTGTGCGCAACTACTACAATAACAACAACGATAACAACAGCAGAAACAACAAATCCAACAACAACAAACGAAACAAATACCTTTGCTTGGCTTCGGGGGGAGGGCGCAGCCCCCCTCCAACTTCCTTTATTTTCAAACAACCCCCCTGATCCCTGCGCATGTGTCGAACAGCAACAGCAACAGCAACGCAAACCACCCCTTCGACAACGGCGCTGCACACGTCTATTTTTTCTTTGACGGACCTTTTTATCACCATGCTGTCCCTGCATGGGGGCTCGCTCCGCGAGGGAGGCGCTGCGCCTTCCCCCGCACCCCCTCCCGATTTTTTTAGGTGCAACCCCTTTCCATCTTGCGCGCACGCTCGTAGACACCTGCCGCTCCGAAATTGCAGCTATTGAATGTAAGTGTTCCCGGACCTCCTGTGCGCCCTCCCCCGCACCCACTCGCGCTCTTGTTTTTAGATGCACCCTCCATCTCCGTGTTGCGCACGCCTGTAGACACCCAGCCCTCCGAAATTGCAGCACAACAACAACATCAATAACATCAACAGCAACAACAAATCCAAATCCAACAACAACAACAACAACTCCAACAACGACAACCACAACGACAACGACAACGAGAACGACAACGACAACGACAACCCCCCTCCAGCTCTCAAAAAGTAAGGGCCGGGTGTCCAAAAGAGGTTGGGGGTTTAAAAAGAAAGGTCGGGGGTTAAAAAAGCATGGTTGAGGGGTTAAAAAAGAGAGGTTGGGGGAAAAAAAAAAAGGGTGGGGGGTTAAAAAAAAGGGTAGGGGGGTTGAACAAAAGGGTGCAGATTTTAAAAAAAGAGGTTGGGGGGTTAAAAGAAAGGGTTCCCCATATCTATAAATATATTTAATATATAGGAGACATTGGATTGGAGATAATATTGATTAAATTTTCAATATATGATATTTAGATAATATATAAATATATTTAATATATATAAATATATATTTTTTTTAAATTATATTGAATTAATATATAATTAATTAATCAAATTTGATAAATATGTTTAATTATATTATATATATAATATTATTATAATATAATATTTAAATAAATAGAATTAATATATTTTCTAAAATTATTTGATTTTTGTATTAATATGTGTTTTTTAATTTTATATATGTATAATGTAAAATCAAATATAAATTATAAATTATATTTATTTAACCATCGTTTTTATTCGTTTTATGGTGGATTCTGCACGGCCGTTCGCCTGGGGTTCGTTTCTTGCAGTTTTGGTTAGCATGATTCTCCGTTTCCTGCAGTAGGCTGCAAATTGGCTTGAAAATTCATGGCCTTGATCGGAGTGTATTCGACTGACGGTGTATCCGTCTATCCTCAACCTCAACACCATTTCTATAGTGGCCTTGGTGACTTTTAGCGATTTTTTTGTGAGCATAGGAAGTGCCAGGTGGAAGGTCTTGATTTTAAAGTCTTTCGGAGGTTTGGAGCCTTTCATTGGAGTGGCTTCATCTCCCCCTGGACTCAGCTCTTCCTGTAGATGACCCACTTCCCTTCCTTCTCTTTCCTCTACATCCGAGATCGTTTCTCGGTGTCCTCCTGAGATCTCTCGATCTTCTTGGACCTCACCTGGTTCTTCATCTTTTTCTTTATTTTCTTCCTCTTCCCTTTCCGCCTCAATTATTGGCAATTCTTCGTTACCTTCTTCTTCTGGTTCCTCCTCCGTGGTTCTTTTGGATCCTATTGGAACGGCCCAGGTGAAAGCGCCAGAAAAAAAAATCTCTGGACAACTGTTCTCCTTGGTCTGTCGCAGGTGTCAAGGGTCCCGCAGTGTCCAGCGACAGGACTCCAGCTAGTGGATATTGAACTCGACGGTGAGGATTGCACTGCTGCATGTTTTCTTGACAGATTCTGCAGTCTCTTCTTGATGGCGTGTGCCTAAATGCCAAGTGCTCTTCCTAGGGCAGTGCCTTCAGCTTTGGCTGTTGGTGAAATGCCTGGGCAAGTAGAGCTGTTGCTACCATGTTCATCAGTCCTGGAGGCCATCGTGCCAGTTGCCAAGAATGGTTGACCTGTCGATCGTCCATGG